CCAGGTGCTGAATTTGGAGGCTACATTAATGTGCATAATATGGTGAGGTTGTCGGTAAAATAATAAATTATTTGCACTATTAGATGTGCATGTAAGCATGTGCATCTTATAATGCAAGCATTAGTACTAGTGGTAGTAAAATTATGGTAAATGCTAACCAGTGTTACAAAGGGTATAAGTTAAGAATCCAAAATAGAAAATAAAATTATAAAAAAATTAAGTGCAATTGATTTTGTAAATATTATCTTATATCATTTAATATGCCTTACGGTAAGAGAAATTAATTAGCTCGAAATATTATTTTATTAAATGGACACTTAATCAACTTTTTTTAATGCGTACGCTCTTCAACACATGTTAAGGAAATAAATATAAAAATTATATTACAAAATATTTATCATATTAAAATATAAAATAATTTCATGTTTAATTTTTGAATTATTTAACATAGTATATTTAAAAAGCATTAACAGCAACTCTTAATTTAATTTTGAACAATTAAAAATAATAATTTTTTTTATAGTTTTATATTTATAAATATAATGTATATTTAATGCTGATTTTTCGTGTGTGGATATAAACATAAAATCAAATGTTAATTTAATAATTCTGTTTTTCTCTCTCATGAATCATCATTATTATCAAATAAAAAGTATTGAGTACTGTGTTATTTTTATTTAAAACTTATTTTATAAAATAATCCAAACATTATTTAAAATTATGCCCACTATTGCCACACCCCGCAATCCTATATCTGCATTGCACTCAGCACTCTTAGCAGTAGTGTTATCCAATTCACTGAAAGCACTGTTTTGTGTTGTCCATTCTTTTTCCAAACATGGGTGAGGCTCCACAAGTGTTCTACATTAATGGGTTCTCAAAGTTTGGCCATGAAACCCAACAAAACCACCTTAATGATACCCATGATTCTTCCTGGTACGAGGAAATCATCGATGATGATCTCAAATGGTCTTTTAAACTCAACAGGTTCCTCATTCATTCACCACCCCTAATTATACAAAACATTCCTATCATTTTCCGTTTTCTCTGTTTTGTTTGATAGTTATAGTAATTTTGTTTTTGTTTAACTACATAATCTCATTTCAACTATTTTTATTTTTATTTTTTTCTCCTATGATTTCAACAGTGTGCCCCATAAAGCAATTAGCCAGTACCAGGACATAGCTCTCTTAGATACAAAGCGTTTTGGAAAGGTTTGCTAGCTCTGCTGCTGCTTCTCAAACAAAAGAAATATAGACAAAATTTTGAATCCCTTTCTTCTGTACTAGTTGTGGTATTTAAAACAAATGCTTCAAATAATATTGATAAACATTATTAAGTCACTTTTTATGCTATTCTTTATAATTAAAATAATATTAAATAAGTTAAAATTCATTAAACACAAAAATCATAAAAAAAAAAAATGTGTATGTGATGATTATTAATGTTGCCTACAGGCCTTGGTGCTTGATGGGAAGATGCAGAGTGCTGAAACGGATGAATTCATTTATCACGAATGCTTGATTCATCCTCCTCTTTTATGTCACCCCAAGTAAGTTCTAATGGTTCAAGTCAAGGCTTAGTAAGACTTTTTTATTCTTTTGTTGAAACAAAAATACAATATAATTATGCTTTATATGAATAAATCCAAAATGATTTTTGTAGATTGGATTTACTTCTGAATATTTGTATGTGTGGATTGAGTGTTCTTTATACAGTACTATTTCTCATGACAAAAGGTTCTTAGTTAGTACTAATATTGCATGTGACAAAAATATCAACTCACGTGTGTGCATTTTACATTTACGATGAAGGGATAATTTGGAAAAGAAAAAAATGCTAGAAGGTAAGACATAGTTTTCGCAAAATATACGATAGCAATTTTTATATGCGTATATTTATTGCTTCCTTGAATATTTTAAACACCATGCTTGACACTTCTTACAAAAAAAAGTTATTCCCATCAAATAATACTATTGTTGGGAGAATACCCCGAAATTTCATTTATTGTATAATTTGTAATTCTTCAAATAAAGTCATAAATACGAAACATAATTTTGGGTCTTCCTACCCAAACAAAATTAAGTGAATGATGGACCGTCTTTATTAAATTAAAATCTTATTTAAGCTCGTATATATGTAATTATTGCTACAATACCCATATAGTGTTTTTTTTAATGGTACTACTACTTAAGCTACGTCATGAATCTTGTTAATTTAGTATATAAATTTTATAATACAATAATAATCAATTAACTATTATTGACATCTCATCTTGGATAATACCATAGCAATCATCGTCTTTCTTATGCTTAATTCATAAAAAATTAGTTGAGAGATTACAAATATATACCACATGATTATGCTTCTTGGTAGACTCGATTGGTTTTTTGCTTGATGAACCCTTGGACTAATATGAAGAGACATGTGTTACTGATTGTGGCAGTCCCAAGACAGTGTTTATAATGGGAGGAGGTGAAGGTTCCTCAGCTAGGGAAGCCCTCAAGCACATGTCAATGGACAGAGTGGTCATGTGCGACATAGACAAGGTTACTTTTACATCATGTTGCTCTTTTGTTCGTCAACCGTTCATCAAACTCAAACGTTAATAATATGATATCCATATTGATATGGGCAGTGATTAAGGGGTGTCTTTTTTAAAAAGAAATATATATCGCCACCTAACTACAAAATATTATAATAACAAGTGATTGTTTGATAAGTTAACATGTCAACGCCAAAACATGGTACCACAATAGCTTATAAATAATATTCTTATATAAGATTGATAAAGATTTTAGAGTAAATATAATGAAATTGGATTGCTAAATCTCGCAGGAGGTGGTAGATTTCTGCCGAAAATACTTGATTGCAAATAGGGAGGCATTTTCTCATAAGAAGCTCGATCTTGTCATCAATGATGCCAAGTAAGTGACTTACTTTATTCTTTATCAATGATTTTGACATTGTTGCTATCATTTATAATGTATTTTAAACCACAAAACTTTGTTATTGGATAAAATCAATTTTATAAAGACTTAAATATTGAAATTTATAAGTTCAAGTTTTAAGATGAATATACCTTATTATAACTTAATTATTAAGGCTTTATTTTAAGCCTCGAAGACAAATAACTATTTTATCCCACCTATCATAATAATTTATCTTCCTTAATAGTCCAATACCTCCGAAAAATGACATTTCACACTTTTGGGGGGAAAAAATGCAAGAATAATATCTTTGAAGAGCTTGTGTTGCTTTTGGTGGATTTAGGGCTGAACTAAAATAAATGTCGACCTAAAGAAAATTATAAGATATTTATAAAAGTTAAAGAATCTATTTTTAAATTACCTCTAATTCTTATCTATCAACTAATATAAAAGGGGGATTTGGTGGAGGTTCCTTACTTTAATTATGCTAAGAATCCAAGACAATTTTTGTGTTGAAGGGCCGAACTGGAGAAGAGAAAGGACAAGTTCGATATCATTGTTGGAGATTTGGCAGACCCACTTGAAGATGGGCCTTGCTATCAACTCTATACCCAATCCTTCTATGAGAAAACCCTGAAGCCCAGACTCAATGATAATGGCATTTTTGTGACCCAGGTAATAATTATGAAGAGAAGGTTCACCCAAAAGCACAAAAAAAGTCATACTGAGAAGCTTTTCTCTACTCTAATATAGTTTGACCAAAAATTGCATATTGTGCAGGCAGGACCGGCAGGCATCTTCACACACAAGGAGGTCTTCACTTCTATATATAACACAATCAAACAGGTCTTCAAATGTAAGATTATCTTATTCAAATGTTTTATTCCGGGATTCAACTTCAATTATCATTAAAATTGTTAACAAAGAACAAGGATAATGTCCATAAACTCGACATTTTTTTCTTATGTGCTATTGTGGTTTCTATTTTTTGGGTGCAGATGTGATTGCATACACTACTCATGTACCATCATTTGCCGACACATGGGGATGGGTTATGGTATGCGAAAAGAAAACACTGTTCCTCTTTCTACTTATAATTAAATATTTGAGTAATCTCATGTTTTAGACAATGACATTACATGTCTCGATTTTTTCAGTTGAATTTTATTAAAATTTCCCTTTAATTTATGACTTTGGAAAACATAATTCATGATCATTCTTAATATTAATAAAAAAGAATTAACATGAATAGCCTTTTTTTAAATAAAGCTAGATACTAAAATGAATTACTCTCAAATATTATTTACAAGAATTTGCATGCTTTCAATTCAGGCTTCAGACCACCCACTGTCGATTGGAGCTGAAGAAATGGACAAAAGAATTGAAGCAAGAATAGATGGGGAACTGCTCTATCTAAACGGTGCTTGGTTCCATTCATCTATGACTATGAATAAAACTGTTTCCCAATCGTAAGTACTTGCCACTCAAAATTAATACCTAAATCTCTACACAAATTTAAGACCTCTATAGATCTAAATATTTGTTTATTTTAGTTTAGAGAAATAATTATTTTTTATTCACTTTTAAGATAAATTTTTTAAAATGTTTATTATTTTTTAAAATAGTCTATTACTAAACATGGGCCTAGTTAATTTCCCCTAGCTAACATGGACACTTTGAATTTTGACAACAATTTTTTTAACAATTTTTGCAGGCTTCAGAATGAAACTCACGTGTACACCGAAGAAAATGCTAGATTTTTACCTGGACATGGCATGGCCTTTCGTCTCTAAGATTTGAAGCCATTGGTTGAGGGAAACTCTTGCATACTCTGACTCTCACCTCAAAAGTATTGCTTCATACAGTCCAGATTAGACTTTCAAGTTAATCTCATTAAGGCACATTCAATTTTTGTAATCCATGCATGTTTTCGTTTGTAAATTGGTGTTAGAGTATGTGGGAATTTGTGTACAGAATACAAAAATATTGGAAGGACTGAAAATTCAAAACAATAAGCACAACAACATCAATCAAATAATTCAATCAACAGTTTACCATTGTTTCATCAACAATTGGCTCTAAGCTTCATTCAAATAATGCTCCCTGGTGAAAAAGCTTAGCTCTTGTTTTGATTTAACAAAGAAGTATGTGGTAAACAAAATACTACCTCTCAGATTTTAATAAATTTTTTTTGTTTTTTTTTTTACATTCCTTTAACCTCCCCCAACTCATATAATTGTATAAGAAATTAGGGGTGATTTGAATAATTGAAAAAAAAAAAGGTATTATGTTGTTATATATAAATTAAGAGGAGTTTATGTTATTATTGTTTTTATTTATTCATTTAAAGTAAAAGGAAAAAAATTGTACTTATTTATTTATCTTTATAAGAATTTGTTAAAATAAGTTTAAAATTATTTTAATAATTTTAAATAGAATTTATTTAAATAAACTAATCTTATCAGAAGATTATGAGTGACGTTTATGAGTAGTAAAAATTTCTGTAATAGTTCTTCTTAACTCTTAAAAAAAAAAAACATGTTGATTTGGATATAGAAATGTAGCACAACAGTTGCATAAATTACATAAAACACAAAGTGAAAACACTTGGAATAAGGAAATGAGCTAAATTTGAAGCTTTGATACAACAAAAACTTCAAGCTCTCTTAACTGGATCAAAGTTGGCAACTCCTATAACAGCAGCAAATATTGCTGCAAGCACAACTCCACCAGCCACAATGCTAAGCAAAAAGTTTTTGAGAGATGGAGAAAAATCATTTCCAGCTGCATGAACCACTTCTGGCATCAACATGTAGGATGCTATTACAGCGGTTGTCAGGCCTTTCACTGCTTTTTCCTTCATAGACGCTTCAATTCCAAGCTTGGGTTTTGGCAGTGACCTTTTAACAGCGGTTCTCTTTGGTTGTGGAAAGGGTAATGGCCTCAAGAAGGCTTTGAAGGGTTGAAGGTTTAACCTGTTTTGGGTGGGAGAGCTGAGTGGCGAAACCATTGAAACACAAGCAGAAGCCATTTTTGGTTGTCGTTTTGTTTCTGCAGAAACTTGTCAAACTCAAGTTTAGATATTGGTTGAAGAAATGTGTAGAATAAGATGTGAGGTTGGAAATGGAGATTTTGTGATGACGTGGCAGTAACTCTATCTGGGATTAAGGATAAGGTTATCCAGGATTGATCTCACTTGCGTGCCACTAAGCTGTCATACAATGCAATGCAGCTTGCAAATTTCTGATATAAAACTGTTGTCCATAAACTAGGAGGAAATAATTTTGGGTAGATATTGATCTGATTGATAGTTAAAGGAGTGCTTTTGGAAATAGAAATAGATCTGAAAAGGAAATTTTTTAAATCATATTTTTTATATAATAAATTTATATAACACTTTTTACAATATTTTTTTTATCTCTTATTAAACATTCAATTTCATATTTTTATTTCTTTAAAAGTTGTAATTTTATATAAAAGTCCAACTTAATTACCTTTTTGTTCCTTCTAAGAATAAAATTTTTTAGAATAAGTTTTAAAAAAATATTGTTAAGATTTATAAAACAAATAGTTATTTTTATATTTTACTATTGCCCAAAAATGTGATGTACTGCTGAGGAGGTGAGAGATGTTTATAAAACATCAGATGTGAGAAATATTGCCGGAGCTTCCATCTTTTTTCTAAGCCGCGATACATAATTGATGAAGGTAACCATAAAAATTAACAAAACTCATAACCGGTCAATAGTTTGACCCTTGGAACACACTGTGGGCCATTCCACTCCTCGTTATCGTCGAAGTAAATTGCCAACCCCATTCCCAACATTCACTCTTGTTTTGTCCTTACTCTGCTCGTTTCAAGCTCAGATGAGATTCCTCTTTCCCCGTAACGCCTGATTCTTGTACTCCATTTACATATAAAGGATTTAAAATAGAGGCTTTATTTATAATTGCTTTAAATTTAAATACTTTATAAATCTAATTAACTTTAAATTAATAATAAATAGCGTTTTATTTATTTTTATCTTATACATCTCTTCACTTTTAAAAAAATATATCTGAAAAAATGCATGGAGCTCATGCTGCATATAGTGAAGCATGCCAAATTGCCGATGCCCCGACATGTACTTGGCCTCGTTAAATAATGTAGTTGCACCAAATCAGTGAAGGACTATATGGTATGGAAAGAAAATGCATAGAAGAAAGAGTGCAGTTAATAGTTAATGACTGTATTAATAAAAAAAAATACAACAAATTAAGGTATAGCACAATTCATTGGTTAATACTTAATGAATTAAACAGGTAGATTAGTTTAAAGGAGCATCTTGTTGGCATAACTTTTGAGAGTACTGGTGATTATGGCGAAAGATGGTCGAGTAGACGGATTTGTATCCCAGCAAAGACAGATAAGGTGAATTAGCACTCCCAGTTGGCCAACGTCACCGCATGGAAGCTGAGGTCTCAGCTTACCCTCCACAACTTCCATGGCAATCTAATAATATAACATCCAACATTTCAGGATCAATATTCTGAAACAATCAATTGAACATTTATATGAAAGTTCAACAAAATTAATTAACTAGATAACTCAAAGTCAGCGTGCTGAGGGTACCTTGGTGGGACCGTATTCCGTCTCAACGTAGGGGTAATTTCCAGTTACTAATTCATTCAATATGACACCAAAACTATACACATCACATTTTTCATTATAAGGTTCACACCGGATCACCTCTGGTGCCATGTACACGTATGTCCCTGAAATAATACCAAAATAATTCATATCATTTGAATCGCGTTTAAAAGGGAAAAGAAAAACATCTAGTTTACCATAAACAATATAATAAGTGAAACTTGTTCTCTTCGTGATTAATGAGAGTATTATGAACAAATACAAAACATTTGAGGAAACACGTGATTGACAAGTTATATTCTGTCTAATTTTTAACACAGTTTTAATATTTCCATACCTTTTTTCTTTTATTTTTTTCATCTTTACTGCTCTTTCAGTGACTTCTATTTTTTTTTATCACATTTCTGATTATATTTATCACTTCTTTTATTCTCTTCTTATAGCTCTCTTATTCAATTCGATGCATGTCAACATATTTTATAATTTCCTTTCTACATCATGCAAAACATTTTCTCTCTCTTCTGGGTAGATAAATTATTAAATATTAAACTTTGTTGAACAGATGTAGCATTACACTTTTCTATATCATTCAAAACATTTTCAGGAATAGAAAGAAATATTAGTGTGCCTGTTTCTCCGGTGAGGGCCATTTCCTCGTCATCCAAGAAGCGAGCGTGACCAAAATCAGCGACCCTAATGTGCATGGCATCGTCGAGGAAAATATTGGTGGGCTTCAAGTCACGATGAATGACTTTGGGCTTCTGTTCATGCAAATACTGCATGGCTTGGGCTATTTCTAAGGCCCGCATCAATCTATATTTGAAAGGTGGAAGTGGCACCATTCTCTCTCTGCGCCTGTTGCCAGGCCCATGCAGCCACTCCTTCAGCGTGGTATGAAGATACTCCGTGACGACCCACGCGCGGTGGGGAGGATCAAGACACGCGCCCATCAGCTGAAGCACAAACCTGTGGCGCTGCCTCGACAGTGTTTCGAGCTCCTGAGAGAAGTAAACGACGCCGTTTTGGTTTGTGCGGAAGAACTCTCGAGATATGCACTTCACTGCTACCTCAATTCCTCGCCATGTTCCCCTGTAAATATCTGCTGTACTTCCCTCCCCGATTTTCTCTTCCAATTCAATCTACCACCATCACATATATTTGAGGAATGAAATAAATAAAACACCATCATAATGATTATAAATATGGGAAATAAAAAATTACAAAAATTAAATAACAATTCTTAAAAAAAAAGATCAAATTAACTCCTTTATTGAAGGCATAGAAATACATTTAAAACTCAACGAAAATCAAATGTTGGCAAAGCATTTATGAATAGTGAGTAGAATATTGATGAAGCGAAATTTTACATATTAAGTAACCATTTGAATGTATGTTTTTTTATTAAAAAAATATAACAAGTAATTTTTGAACTGAGTAACAACTAGTGCCTAACCTCAGTTGGATCAATATACCATCCATTCAATTTAGCTTGATCGATGATGGCAGCTAAATTGGGGTGGTGATTATGTGATGGAGTAATAGGAATTTGAGGGCTGGTAATGGAGCTGAGGGAGAGTGGAGATTGTTGAAGTTCAGCTTTGTAGTTGATAATGAGGTCCAATATTCCATTTTTCTGTGCTATCTGAAGGCAATACCTTAAGTATTCTTGCGTCTTTTCCATTCTTTTCCTGTACCGCACTCCTAGTTCTGTCTGCTTTTGCACTTCCCTTTCCAAATCTGCAACCTACGTACGCGCATGCACATATTTCAGAATCCCTTTAATATTATGAATATGCAACTCACTTCTCAACTATACTATTCTTGATATTTAAAAAAATCACATTGTGCTCAGCGCCAGAATTATAAAGAAGGCTTAAAATGTAAGCTTAATTATTTACGATTAGAACCAAATTATGACAACAAAATATTATTACACTATGCAATTTTCTATGTTTGAAACTAATTATGACAATATTTCTTTTCTCTTTTGTTTGACTCTCGATGTCTAAAAATTAAATTTGACCACGACTAATTTAAGTTAAATTAAATAAATCCATTTGAAGAGGTGTTTTTTTTTCAAATCTTAATTTTATTTTATAAAATTCAAACTCAAGACATAAGTAAATATATTGCCTGCCAAAAAATGTTTTAGTCCAATTATTTTTTGCTAAATACTCTTGATGCCGGAAGAAAAATTAATTGATACATAATTTCAAGCAAAACTTTAACTTGTTAGCAATGTAGTAATACATGCAATGCATGAAACCTACCTTTACTTCCAGCTTTTGGCATTGTAGCTGGTGTAGATGTTGTGATTTGGAGGCAGAGGAGCCCGTAGTTTTCACATTGGTGAAGCCTCCGCAGCATCCAACCATTAGAGGGCTAGGTGGCTCCACATTCTTCTGTGGGTTGGCCCTCGAATCGGAATTGGATGATTGCCTAGATAGGTATAGAGAAGACCCCTTTTGCGGAATTTGAGGGCTGTTCTTGAAATTCATATTTATTTCAATTCAATTATCTATCCTCCCAAATTAATGACAAATAATATTATGGACTGGAAGGGGAAACCCAAATTGAGTCATCAGAGTCACTTATAATCTGACGCCCTTTTTGGTGTTTAGTGAATTCCTAATAGATAGCAACAATTGGACGGATTTTGTGATGATCATTTTAGCTTATTAGTATGTGAATTGCCTTGTTGGGTTGCTTTCATATGCCTTGTTTTTTGTTTTCATGAAAAAAAAAAATGACTTCTCTCTCCCATTGAAACTCTATATATAATAGTAATAAACCAGTGTAAATATTTCGGATTAAGCAAGGAGAAAAGTTGATTTATTTATACTCTGAACATGAAGAAGGAATTTTATGAATTAAAAACGATGTTACCTAGAATAAATTAAATTTTCACCGTGTTAGTAATTTGGACAACAGGCAAATTGGGCGGAAGTTACTACAAAACGTATAGTACAGGACATTGGTATAATGGAAAAAAGCCTTATTATATCTTCTTTCTTTGTAGTTAATGTTCTATCATACCATGTATGAGTAATTTATTTATTTATTTACAAGATGTTCTATCATACCATAGTCAGAATTTTTATTCCAAAGAAGAAAAAAGAATTAGTTAGAATACAGCAACAAGGCTAAGTGTTACGATTAATGAGATTAGAAGTTAACGATGGTGGGCTCAACTAAGAGAATCGTAACATTACTGAAATGCATTTTACTGTATTTATATATATAAGCTAGATGGATAGACTCCACTTGACTGTGTCTATTAGCTTAATTTATTTGTTGTATGAAAGGAAAGTAAATCGTATATCTTGAAGCCTTTATCTTTGGACATCAAAGATTCTCATGCATGAACTTAACATACAACAGTCACATTAACTAGATAGTAGATATCTGCATGTTTATGATCATGCCATACTCAAACGTGAGCAATAGCATCTTCTTATATCACGCACTAAAATGCCACCCTTACGCATCGCCGTGAAAGAATAAGTAAACCTCATTCTTTGGTAGTTAAACTGTTAAAGGCGCCTCATCCTTGGTTAAAGCTAATTGATGCCTATTTAAATTGATCAATAAATGCCATACTAATAAAATAATCCAAATAGGAAATTAATGTCCAAATTCTTCTTACATAGAAATAAAAAATTTATAATTTACACGTACAAAAAATAAAGAATGAATGTATTAAAATATATTTCATATTGGTGAGTCGGGTCAACATGTCAAAAAGTATATTAGTTAAAAGCACTTTACTCTAAACTTATCAGAATTATTCTTAAAAAAACGAGTCTTTCAAACTTATTGTAATAAAATTGAACTTTTTAATCATAAAAATTTTATGAGAAGTCAGGAAATTCGATACGAGGAAATGTTGGGAACTTATTTTTTTATAATAAACTCTTTCAAATATATCATTTACTATATTAGGAAATTTTTTTGTCAATAATAAAATCTTATTAAAAGTTGTAAAATGAATTATATTTTTAATTTAGTGAGTTTTGTTTATAATTTTAAATAAATTTTAGCTAATAAAAAATGTTATATAATATATTAGTAATTTGAGTTAGTTCACTGTGACTGAGACTGGTCAAGAAGTTTGAAGCTGATTGATTAAATAAATAAACTTGCTCTAAATAGTACGAAACATTCATTTACTATAAGTGGTGGTAATTATTTTTAACAATTAATTTAAGTTCTTCAAATTAAAGTTAATTAAATAACAGTTAATTAAGTGGTAATTACTTTTTAACATAAATTAACTTTTAATTATTTTTTGTTAACATTTTTCACTAAATAATTTGCTTCATTATATTTTTTATCCTTAAATTTGTTATATTTGCAATTTTATTATGTTTCATTTTATTTAGTTAATTATGTTCTATTTTTAAAATTATACAAATTTAATTATCTTGTCAATTTTTTAAATTAAAACACTCAAATTTTTACCTTATTTTTAATTCAAAATCTTAATAATTTAATGGATATTTTTTCAAAAACCTTTATTTTTTCAAAAGACTTCAATTCAAATATCAAATTTTTGTTAAAATTTTAAATTATTTTCCTTCAAAATCTAATTTCACATCTTAAAAATTCTTTAAATGTTGTCAAAATTTCTTCACTTTTTAATTTAAATATCTCAGAAAAAAGTGAGTGATATACTTTTCAAAATAAATTAAACCCTTAAAAATGACATTGTATACCAAACCTTAAAAATGAAATAAAAACCTAGCAACTCCGAATCCAAACTAGTTCGACAGAGTTTATTTTATTTTTATCAGTTTTCATCAATTTTGATCGTTCCTGCCTATATGGTTTTCTTTGTTTGATTGATTTAAGTAAACATATATACAGCGTAACTTGAGTACAAGCAGTACCCAAGAAATAACATAAAAGTGTACAAGACATAACTCGGGTGCAAAGTGTCCGATATGTTTTTCTGTTGAATCTTTACCGATCGATCTGACTTTACTATGAGTGGAATGGATCAATATCCTCAATGGCTTTCTTTTCAAATCGAATCTAATTTTTCAATTAACTCTTTACATAATTTAGTCAGCAAGTTCTCCACAAAGCCACCACATCATGCATATCGTGATATAAGCATGTTGAAAAAACTATAAATTAAATTTAACGAGTAAACGTAATTTTAACGTAATTCTGAACATGCTATATATTAATTTTAAACTAAGCAAACAGTATATTAAAGCGATCAAAAGCAATGTTAAACGTGTAGATGTACATATTCAATTCAAAATGTTGAACCCAGGAACAAGATTGCGGTGTGAACAATATTCTAGGGATTGTGCTACGAAAGAGAACGAGAGAGACAGCGAAAAAGATTCTCCTATTGAGCTAGTCACAAATATCACAATGATGGTCCTCTTCACAGTCTCACTTGTACTTTGTAGGATATAAAGGGAAAGTTGTTCAACATTCTAGTGGAAACTCACCTCGGGATCGCCAAATCTTCATGACTTTGTCTTTCCCTAGCATAACAAACAAAGCAAAAGAGAGCAAATTCTTATGTGGACCACGAGAACTAGCCATAGTGTTACCGACCCCAGTGTTTATGTAGCCCAACTTTTTCTTCCTCCTTTTGTTGCAGTGCCTTGGAGACACCCACTTGACCACATGGTTACTTACAACTAGCTACAACCCTAAAAGGGTCTCATATATAACATTTTCCGTCTTTGTTGCTTTATCATCGATCGATCTTTCTTTTGTGTTATACTACTGTCAGTTTAATTTCCTTTCCCCAATTTTCGTTATGGATTGTGTACAAAATAAAGTTGTTAGTCAGTTTGATTTTGACCCTGTTAATTTAGCTTTAGTTGCCAAATCTATAAATTCGAGGGTATTTTACATAGACCAACCTAAATGTGATATAGTATCTGTAGAGTTTCACGAGTCAGGGTGAAGATAATAATAAATTAATATGATTACAATAACTAGGCCTATGTTTGGAAAATTTTAATTTTGAAAAAATATATATTAATTTGCTCAAGTTTTCGTAACCAATTGTAAAACACTGTTAATTATTTTTCCAAAAAGAAATCAAAATTGATAAAAGAAACTGCTGGCTGCCACAGTTGGGTCGTCTGGCTGTGGACTTTACGTAAACCATAGTTAATAATACTCCACATGGTGCAAACTCTCACAACGTGGAAGTTTACAATAATTAATATATCAATAGTTTCTAAAATTGAAAATGCTGCAAAATTATTCCCCTCATCCTTGCACTATACTTCACCACCTCACCCGAAGTATGTAGCAACTATATATATATATATATATAACCAAATTTGAATTACAGGTGGTTCTAAAGCTCATTAATATGCTTACAACGCAAGCTTTTTCTACCTGCATTTGTTGAATGAGTTACATGCACTATTTTCAAGTAAGTGGGTCTTCCACCGATCTTCCATTTGGTTGTTCACAAACTAATGCTTATGCATGCTAATCACCTAATAACCTTAAATATATATTGTACTCTGTGTAAGTAGGTCATTATGTCTACTAAAAATATTGAATCCTATCAACAGGATTATTCTGATAATCGCGCGCCGAGCGCTAAATATATCATTTCTATATATGTAAAAATCTTTTGCCACACACGTTTCACCAAAGACAAGCCATTCATGGTTAAATTTACATCAGATACACAAAATTGATGATTTTGGCTTGGATATGAAATTAGTGCTGGCGTCTAAAACTCTTTAAAGTTACAAATACTGTCGGTGAAATTTAATTTGTTCAACAAGTATGTTGACTTAAAAATTTTGGGATTTAATTTATGTTCGGAGTTCTTTTTCATGAGTTATGATGGGTTATATATAGGTATCAACCGAGGTCTTGATTAAAACTTGCGACACGATTCAATTTTTATATCAGAACTTCTTTGCTTGTAGTATTTTTTAAATAAATTTTCTATCAACAAATAAAATGCAAATTACTGCACCTTAAATTAATTCTTAAAATATAACAACTTAACTAACAGAGATCGATTTAAGTGATAAGTAGCTCATTATTATTTAAGTGAACTTAGACTCACACACCATATTTAAGCGTGCAATTTGAGTTTGATCTAAACAAAATAAATAAATAAAAATATATATATATATATAAACTTAATAATTTGTTATAATAATTTAAGTCAATTTAATTATTAAATTATAAATTAAATATTAATATAACTTACGAGTTAAAAAAAGTATGAAAAGACTTCAAATATTTCTTTGTTAAATTTTTACAAAAAATGTTAAAGATGATTTGATATTTGAAAAAAAAAACAGAAAACTATTTTTTTTCTAAATTCATATTCTTGATTTTCTTTACACGGGTTAAAAGTACATAAAGTTGCTGGATTTTATATTATTTATTTTTCCTTAAGAATAGCATAAATTTAAAGCAAATGTTATGAATCAACCATATTCGTAGTAAGTCTAATACTTTATTTATTGAAACATGTACTAATTTAAATATCAAGTATTCAATATTATTAAAATGATAAACTTTAAATGATCAATTTATTTAATAAAAAACTATGTCTATAAATGTATTTATATGCAAAAAAAAAAAAAAAATTGAAACTAAGGTAATAATTACTTCCTGATAACTTGTTTGTTGCAGAAATCTTATTTTCTTAAACGTGAATTTGGTCCTCATAGAGGCATGATTCTAGCTAGCAGGAGGAGAAGAGGTAAATTTGGTGGCACTAGCTAGCTAGGGTGAGGGCACAGTGTGTTGTCTTGTTTGGGCGTGATTAATCATCGTCTTAATCCCCACCATAATAATTGCCTACTTTACCGCACACTAGTGCCTTGTAATTTTCAGCCGAGTTTGCAGTGTACTGTGTACTAAGTAGTTACCAAAACACACGACAAAGTCTCTGCAACCTTGCCTCCTTCCCTCATCATCATAATCAATTCCCGTCTCCGATCACACCCTTTTTTTCAACGTTACATTAACAGCTTGTAACCGTCCACCCAAAATAGCATTAATGCACATTTTTTACTTTTGTCTTCAAGAAAAGGAAGCCTTAAGCTCTCATGAATGTTGTAGATCACTAAATACTTTAACGATTTTTTAATGTTATTATTATAAAAATTTAATAAATTTAAATTTAAAAATATATTAATTTGTAGTATTATTGTATTAACTCGAAAGATTGATGTTTTAGTATAATTATAAACTACAAACATGTCTTGTGTCATTTGGATCTTTTGAAGTTCTCAGAATTTCTAGGATCATATTTTGTTATTTTTTTATATTCGTTTAAGCGAATTTTACTCACTTAAGCAAATGAAAAAAATAACAAAATATAATCTTTATATTCGACATTCAACATGAGGAGATCCAAATTCACTTTTGAAGACATTAATGATTTTTAACCTTTAGATCTAAATAAATGTATTGAGTTTTATAATATCTTATAATTTTAATTATATATATATTTAAACACACGTTAAAAGAATTAAATTTAAATTAATTTTTGTATGCATCAAAATATCTTTTAACCAACAATAAAAAATATTTTCCTTCCAGGCAGATAGATTATTGAAGTACGTACATTTTTTACAAACTTTTTTATACACATAACATCTATATTCTTAAAGCCTTTATGAGCAATGTCTGTGTTAACTTAAATTAGTCTCTAAAATTGGATGAACTAAGAATCTTAATTTTTAAATTAAAAAAATTTACTTAAAAGAATAATATTTATTTTAATAAAATGATAATTAAAAGTGAAAATAAAAAATTTAAAAAAGTTATTTTACAAAATTAAAAATTGATAAAAGAAATTTTAGAAACTAGCCTGATTCTTAGAATTTCGAAAACTGGCTTAAAAGATTCCGCAGCAATTGTAGATAGCATTGGAGTGGTAGCTCAATCTACAAGTTAGGGTGGTTAGTAAATAGAAACTAGAAAGTAAAAATTAGAGTGAAAGAAATAAAACAAAGAGAGAAAGAAAGCAAAAGCTTTAGTCTTCACTTTCTCTATTCCCATGGGCGAGAAGATCTGCCTTTCCCTTTACCATCACACATTCACACCCTTCTCTCAGTTTGCTTGTGATTACCATCTCGAATCTCTCGTTTTCCCTATTCTTTTTATCCTTTTCCTTTTGTTTTCCTCTAACTGTGTTGTCAGTATCCATCCGATCAGAATGTTAGATCGTGATCAAGAATTTGCGCATCCCCACCCCTTTTTTCTTTTTGGAAAACCAACCACCCTATACTTTACAAAATCACCCACTCACTCACTCTTCTTTCTCTATCATTCAAAACACTGCCACATTCTCCCACACTAACACACATACTACACATGTACCAAGAAACGTACATATTTTACTAAGGAAGAAAAAAGCTATTTAATGTAACAGAGTAACAGAGCATCGATGTGCTTCTTTTCCCTCCATTAATTCTCATTTATATACACTTTAATAGTGTATTATTATATCTATCTTTATTTTCTTATGTCTCTCTAAATATCTCTGTTTCAAGAAGTATCTATAAAATATTTTTTGGAAGCTTCACTTCTGCTCACACCACCACTAAAATTAAGCACCAATAAAAAGTGAAATAGCTAAAATTACATGCTTTACATCAATTTTGGGTTTGTACAATAATGCTCCGAAAACTTCAAAAAACATCTAGAAGCAATTGCAATTTGCAAAGCCTATTAATTTTGCGTACATTTAAGTGCTTCTAATCCACAACTACAACCATGTCAATCTTATTAATCATCGATGCTTGAGAAAACCAATTAAAAAACAAAACTCAAAAGGTTCTGTAATATTTGTATAATTATCAAATCAAAAGCTTCCAGAACAGAACTACAGCACAAGGCCATTAGCAATGGCGCGATTGGTACTAACACGAGTAGTTTCATACACCGGAAGCTCTTCACTATACCTACTACTTCCAAACACAGCTAAATGATCAAGTTCAAAAAGATCCGAACTTGCACAGCTTGAAGCATCGTCGTCGTCATGTTCTACTTCTTCACGGCAATTAACGTTAACGTTTCTCCTTAAAACCAAATCGTTGCTCTTCTTCTGCTTGTGAGAGTAATCTTTTAAGAACTCTCTAGAAGCTTCTTCTTCCTCTTTTCTCTTACCAAATTTCCACGTTTTCACCAAGCCTGTGCCTTTTTCTTCACACAAACGTTTTTGGCCACACGGTCTACTATCTTCACCCACGATCACACTCACGGGGTAAAAACGCACCGTTCTCTTCACCCCATTGCACAACCTGTCAGAAGACGGGGTTTTGCTCAAGCAAGACCTCGAAAACGAAGACGCAGAGGAACACGTGGAAGAAGAAGACGAAGAAGAAGAAGAAGAAACAGTTCGAATGGGTTTAACTTTTCTCTCGTCTTCTTCACACGCGTGTCGATTATTTTTCTTCGTGTTGGCGAAGAGCGAGTTGAGGAAACTCGAGACTCTGCCACCGGGTGAAATGGGTTGCTTCACCTTCTTGAGATTGTTGTAAATCTTCAGCGCTCTGGATTTGGACTTTATCAACGCTTCTCCATCGCGAACCGCTATGTTTTCTTCCTGGGTGTTGGAACTTCGACACAAACCATCGAACATGCGATTTCCCTGTTTCTCGGATCTGAACGAGGAACAGGTTCTGACGGGCTTGGGCGCGAAACGCGAGGCGCGTGAGATGGATTCGGTGTCGGAGGAGGAGAATCCTGTGGAGCTAGAATCGGAGGAAATGGAAGTGGAACTGAAGAAGAGAACATCTTGGTCGTGATCGAAATGACGGTGTTTTGATTTTGTGTCGGTTTTAACGTTAGTGTGTGTTTGGGTGGGTCTAAGATTGGCATTGGTTGTGGTGTGTTTGTTAGTGGGCATTGTTGTGTGTGTGTAGAAGTTGGTTTGGCAGGTGTTTTTCTCGGCGTCGTCGATGGAACGGTAAATTTGGTCTAAGAGGGAGGAAGAGAATGAAGGAGTTAGGAACCTGTTGTCGTCTCTAGTTCGTGTCTTCTCTAAATTGTACATGATGATGAATTGGGTCGAAAACAAAATCAAGGATTTTAGCAAATTCAATAAAACTAATAGTGAACGAGTGAGTGAGTGAGTGAGTGAAAGGTGCAATGGAAGGATTAGAATTGGGGCTGGTGGAAATGGCGAGAGAGAGAGAGAGAGAGTAAATGATGTGTTTGAGAATGAAGGAATGGTAGCGTTGGAGTTAGAATGAGAGACGGGAAATGTCTCAGGGGAGGGGGAGGCTTTATATAGGTCGTTGAGAAATGTTGCCAATATTTTTTTAGTATATATTTTTAAAAACTATATGAATTTTTTAATTTAATAATTTATATTCATGTTTTAAAAATTTATATTAAATTTCAGAAGAAAATTAATATTAACCTTAAAATTCAGTTTAAGTGTTGAGTAATAATAAATTTTATTCAAAAATATTTTAGTGATTTTGTTAACAAAAACTTTTAGGATTACGTTTAAATATTTAAAATTTAACAAACAAAAATAAATATATTTGAAAAGCATATGAAAAAACGTGTTTCCAAGAATCCTGAAGCTGGTTTAAGGCAAGAGTGATGACGCGCGTTCAAGTACGTACAATGCCAGTTTGGCATGTGATGACGCAATAAACTTGACTCGTTTCTTCAAAGGCAGTGAAAATTTAAAAGAGAGTTCCGAGGTGCCTCAGGCTGTAGCTGTCGCTGTACATTCATTTTTTCATCGTTAAACTCCAAAAATTATTCAAAACATGTTTTTCCTGTAAATTTCTCAGTTAAACGTTTACTTAAAAAGACTAATCATTAATGCCATTAAAATATATTGTAAATGAAGTTTATAGATATACTGTTTTATTGTTCAGATCTTGGAAGTGTTACATCTAATCATTAATACCATAAATATCATATTTATTATATTTTTAATATTATAAATACTCCTTTTATTACTAAAAATTTAATAATTTTAATTACTTACAAATAACTATAAAGGCTCATATTATTATTATTTTCCTATCTAATTATTACTTTCGGTCAGAGATCATTAACCTAAAAGGATTCTCAATAAAGAAAATTAATAATAAATATTTCATTCAATGTATATATAATTTTAAATTTCAGAATTTTAAAAAATATTCATAAAAAAATTATTTGACATCGTAAAAATCATTTATAATTCATTTAAATAAATAGTATCAATTTAGAAAAAATTAAATTTGTAAAAAATGATATAGGAAAAATATAATATACAAAATAAAATAAAATATGCATTAGATCATTTTAAAGTCATGAGTCGTTAAATCATTAACGTTTAAAAATAAAAATTCAAAATTATCGTATGGGATTTTTTTATATAAATTTTCTCTTCATAAGTATTTTTAGTGTTATTCATGTTAAATTTGGAAAAACAAAATTATGTTAAAAAAATTATTGTTGAAAGAATTAAAATCATGAAAATGGTTTTAATATTAAAATATAAATATAACCTATTAGGTTTCATACTTAAAATTATTTTTTTTTAGTTTAATCACTAAGTTAATTTTGAGAAATAACAAATTTTAGCCAAACAATAAACGATACTGTTGGATTCCATTCCATTTAACATCAACGGCATTTGCTCATAACCACATATTGGTGAGACTTTTTTAAGCATTTATTGAAAAAGAAATAAGAATAACATTTTAATATGCCTTAATTTTGATGTATTTATGTTGTCAAATAATTCAAAATCATCTTATATATAATTTTTAAAAAAATATTATAGAAGCTATTTTTTAAAATTATGTGACTATCTAAATATTTTTAATTTCACGATAATAGAATATTTTAATTATATAATCTAATATATTTTTTATGTATATTATCATGTACCCAATTAAAATACACAAAATATGTTATATGCGACTTTTAAATTAATTGTTATAAAAATTAATATTTTTTATTAATATAATAATATATAATTGAATAATAATATAAAAATATTTTGTATTGTTACTGTATTCTAATTATAAATATACTATAAATTCTATCAGTCTGGCATAAAAAGATTGTGTTAAATAAAAGAATAATCTAACCAAAAACTTATTGAATGGATTGCTTTATACGAAAGCTTTTAAATACAGTAAATGAAAAACTAAATTGTAATTTTAAATTATTAAACATTTTATAAATTATTATTTTATATAAAATAAGTTTTGCATTAAAATATTATTATTTTTAAACATGTAATTATAATGAATTAATAATTATATATTTCAACAATAAATAACTCAATCATCTTGAGAGAATAAGTTATAATTTAAAAACTTATGCATTAGTTTTGTGAATAAACTTTTCAAAAAATTTCAAGATTAGCCTTGCTTAATAGATCAAGTCAAAGTTAAGCAATAAAAAAATAGTTTGTGAGGTAAGTCTGAGAAGGCCTATTTTCATTTCTAACCATACCATCCTATTTGTTTAATTTCATACATAATTAAATTATTTTATATTTCAAAATCTTTTATTTTGCATTTCAGTTAATATAATACATAGAAATTGGGCAAGTTAAAAATTTTAAAATTTTCACTTAATAGAATTTTAAATCGTACATAGTCTGAAATAACCTCATCTTTCATAAGCTTCTATTATTTTATTTTAGGCAAATTTAATCGATGAAAGCAAAGTTTTGGATAGTTTATAAAATAGTTTAAGCAAAGAATGTTTACAGGCAGAATACTACAACATGATTATTGTCTTAGCTTAGTCAATACTACAACATGCTCCACGAAGATGATGGAGGATGAGACGACACCAATCCTGAACATGTAGTTTGAATGCTAAGGTCTTGACAAGACCTTAGTCAACAGAAGTGTGAGTTGGCGACAAAAGGAATGCAAGAGACTCTTTGATCATGTGCAAACACTATGCCATGTACGAAATGGTAACAAATAACAAGGTGCTTTGTATGAGAGTGGAATATAGGATGGACACAGAGGTCGATGTCACACCAACATTGTCGATCGAAACAAATGGTAGGTAGTTCTTTGATGCACATGTTCAGTTCTCAATGCTAGAACTTGATCAGCTCCAAAAGTTCAATGATAGTAGAAGCATTGGTTCGGTATGTTCCAAGTGGCATGGCGAAAAAGAAAATATGCATTAAATTAATCATTAGAATTATAAGCATCGACAAGTTTTTTTTTTTCAAATTATAAAATATCATTCTAAGCTTGGAAATGATTAAATATAAGTTTTTTAGTTTTATATTATTATAATGTTATATTGTAAAATAATTGTTGCTTAATAATTTCAAGATATAATTATATTTTTATGATTTTAATTAAAAGAACAAATTGACAAATATTCCTAATTTTAAAGGTCAACTCAATGTATTACTTGCTTTCTGGCATGCCTAAGATCATGAATTAACAAGCAGGTATAAAATTTATATCATCTTGGTCACGTTGACCCATTTCGCTTCAGATGACACGGGCATGCAACGTTGGAGCTTTGGTCAAGGGCAAACTATGAGCTATATAGTTGCTTTTAAGTGTTGATACTCATGGAACGTATATATTCAGAAACTTGGCCACATCAGAACGTGCAATGGTTAGAATTGTGTTTCATCTGTCTTTTTTTTCTTTTTCTTTTTTTGTCATTTAAAGTTCTTTGAAGATAAATTTTAATTTATATCATTAAAATAAAAGTAAGGGTATTTTATAAGTTTTTTAGTTTAAATGTTACAATCTTTAATCCCTCAAGTTACTATCAACAAGAAACTATTGCAAACCTCACACGACTCTATGGTTATTGATATGCGAACTAGTTAAGACCCACCGAACTTACTTAAGTATGAAAATAGATAAGACTTGTGCAGAGTATCATAATGTCTATCTCTACACACATTTTAAAAAAATATTCATACCCAAATATTTACTTGCGTGGGGGCTATTAACTTTAATACTTTGATTCTAATTCACTGGATACTTATATACCTGTATCTAAATTTACTGTGTGCATTTTAATTAATTTGAATATTATTTTTATGGTATATTTATTTGAAAAAATAATAAAAATATAATAAAACATTACAAATAGAGGTCTTAACCTTAAAGAATATTTGAAATAAATAAATTCTAGTTATAAAACATAACAAATGCACATCACACGGTTATGATTAATTATATTTGAATAATATAATACTTATAATATAAAAAATTGAAAATAAATACACATATCTAATTTATGCATGAAAATTAAGTGTGATTATGATCCCTGTACTTAATCTCAAAATCATTATTGTAAGGCGTTGTTGATCATCGCATATAAATTATAATCACCCTAAACGATTCACTTCCCCGTTCATCACACCTCTCCTATTTCATGTCGTCGTCAATTGTCGGAACTGCTAACTAATTCACGTGTAAAGCTAAATACTATTGTTCAGTAGCAAACGACAGTGTTTGTGGCCAACTTATTCGATTTGAAGATAGTGTGTTTGGGGGACATATTGGAGAGAGAGCATGTGAAAAGTAAAACCTTCTAGTCAGCTTCTTTAGAAGTTTATTTTCTTAAAAAAAGAAAAACTCCTTTTATTTTAGAGCTTTACTAAAATTATATTTCGACAGCGTTTGATTCAATATTTTGGATTTGATTATTTTAAAATAATCAGTTTAGATAAAGAGGAGATCATAATCATGCATTGATTAAAATAATTAAGGGAATATGTTTTACAAATGCACTCAATTATAATATATTCTAATAAGGTATTAGGGAAAAAAAATTTCAGCTATGTTTTGTCACTTAAAATGATAACACTGTTGGAGCTGGCACATATATTTTCGAAATGACGTAGAAGGTTGATATTTAGAAAAATATCAGAAGATTGAATTAGAAAATCATATATAAAAAGATAAAAAGTATATTAATATCATAATGATTTTTCATGCTTCACTTGTTAAATAATACTCTTTCAGTACATCTCTACAATGACGAACTCTTTGAATTTAACATTTTATAGTTATCGAGAGCCCATAGAAAAAGGCTCCAAAGCTAAATTTGTACGGTTAAATATATTCTCAAAATTGTCATTACCTTTAATGAATCTTTCATCTTCAACTCAAATGACTCCACCGCCACAAACTGTCATCTATGCAGACCCTACAACACAAAACATCCAC